GAGCCTTTTTGAAATTCGCACATGGGTTGTGTAAGAGACTTAATCACTCTAGTTTCTTCCCCAGCGAATATTTACGAGCAGGTAAAAGCCCGGATTATCGCGACATATGCACCTTCGGCCGAAACAAAATTGCGAAAACTTTTAAGCGGACAAGTCGGGACCGACGGAAAACCTTCGTTAATCCTCAGTCGATTGCGCGGGCTTAATAACGGAAAGGTAGATGATAACATAATAAAATCAATTTTCCTGGATCAACTACCACGCGAACACCGCGCGATCCTGATATCTACGGGAATTACCGACCTCAATCGTCTCGCCGAGGTCGCCGACCGAATGGCTGAGAACACTCTCGGAGGCGAGGCTTACGCGTCCGCAGTAAACAAGGGGAATACACCCCCTCCCGCAAAAACCGAGATGCAGCAACTTAGCGATATGGTGGCCGATATAATTGCCTTATTTAAAAAAGAATACGAAAATCTGGGAAAAACACTAAATTCGTGTTCGCAATCCAATTCCCGTTCGTTGAAAGATCTAAAAAACTAAATCAGCTTTTCCGTTCGGAGACGGTCGGTAAGGGCCTTCAAATTTCTAACCGTCTCCACGTCCGTGATCGTACCAGTGGCCAAATGTTTCTTGTCGATACAGGCGCGGATATCTCTCTTGTACCCGCTATCGATAGGATCAAAGAAAAGCCCTCCGAATTAAAGCTCTTCGCAGCAAATGATACGCGTATCGACACGTTCGGGGAATCTCTTCGTGAGCTTGACCTCGGTTTAAGACGGCCAATTCGATGGAATTTTTGCATTGCCGCAGTTCCGTACCCCATCATTGGCGCCGACTTACTATCGCACTACGGGTTAATAGTAGATTTAAAACGACGACGTCTTATAGATTGCACTACTAAATTATATACCCTCGCGACTAAAAAACCGGCCCCGATACATTCGATTAATACAATTAAACCTTCCTCTGAGTTTTCCAAAATACTCAAGGACTTTCCGCAAATAACAGGAGCCTTTCCCCTCTCCCCGCCGTCCAATTGTGACGTGTTTCATCATATTATCACCACCGGCCCTCCAGTCGCTGCGCGCGCTAGGCGCCTTCCTCCTGATAAACTTAAGGCCGCAAAGGCCGAGATCAGAGCTTTAGTCGAAGCAGGCATTTGCCGCCCCTCTAGCAGTCCATGGGCCAGTCCCATTCATTTAGTCCGTAAAAAAGACGGCACCTAGCGGGTGTGCGGCGATTACCGCGGTGTAAATGCAATCACGCGACCTGATAGATACCCCACCCCCCATCTGCATGATTGCTCCGTTAATCTACACGGTAAAACAATCTTTTCATCCTTCGACTTATATAAAGCCTATAATCAAATTCTATTAGCCAATATGGCTAAAAGGGCGTTAGAACGCCCGTACACCGGTCCGCACAAGGTAGTGCAACGCATCTCGGAGCGTGTATTCAATATTGATATCAATGGAAACACAAAAAGCGTGTCCGTCGATTTATTAAAACCGGCATATTTTGTCCCTGACGACCCCGCCGACCCCCCATCAACCTCCGAGAACATACTCAACCGAAATGTAAATCCGAACCCAGCGCTTAAGACCTACTCTCGTAAGACTGTCACATTTGCGCCGTCCACTAAACCAAAGTGATTTAATTGTAAGACAGAATTCTACTCTATATAATGTTATTAGATATAAGTCGGCTCAAATTACGTTTAAGCGTATAATATATTTTTAATTAAGATATTGTTAACCTCGTACAATAGCACCTGGCCAAACGCATAAGCTCATTTGTTTAGTGCAATATTACTTATTATTTATTTCGTTAACCCTGGGGGGGGGGGAGTGTTAGTCTAAAAGCTGGCTACATAAAAATGCAAGGTATAAGGTACATGAAATATTTATAGCAAGAGAGGTTCCATTAGCACTCCCGAACACTGAGTGACCAGTCTGCCTGCGCGCTTAGGAAGATTAAGGCGGGAGTGGACGGTCAAAAATGACAAATTTTACAAAAAAAATGATAAAGCTCAGGGATAAAAATTATAGGAATGTTAAGTATTTGTTGCTACAAAACGCGGAACATTATTGGCAGACAATTTCGTGGAAGAGAAAGGGCCGGCAGACTGCAACAAAGCGGCGTTAACTTTTGTGAAAAAAAAAAATGATAAGGTACATGATTAAAAATTATTGGTAATAATTACTAAACTGTTAACGAAGCTATGTGCTAAATGGCAGACGAAAAAACTGAAGACAACATCGAGGCAGATTGCAATGAAGAGCGCGGTTTCGATTGCGCTTAAGGGGATGCTGGAGCCGTAGCCGAACTCGATCGGCGTCGGTAAAGAAGACCGGCGAACTATATCTGTCCTTGTATAGACAAATATAGACAAGGATAGCACGCTACATTGCACGCACACATACGCACGATGCACGTCGACATTATACTTTTATATTACGCTTCCAAATCTTGATTTGGAGGGTTTATCGATGTTTTTCTTGTTGTGCAATTCGGGGGAACTTGTTTTCGCGTTCGTACCAATGGTATATCTCTTATATGAAATACATCTTGTGACGAGCTGACAGCTCGCCGCAACTCGAGACGCCATATTGGGATAAAAGTAGGATAAGGAAATCTGTACTTCCGTAATTTTTTCTCGTTTTTTATATAAAATCGGAGTTTCCCCGAATCATTAATGTATGTACTGCAATTCTGGAGAAAGATTTTTAATTTTGTCAAATTAATACGACGCTACGTGCCGACAAAAAATGCCGGTAAAACAGACGGCTCCAGCATCCCCTTAACGAGTTAGTTCCGTACGATGCGTTACTACGATATGTTATTTTGTTTATATATATATATATATATATATATATATATATATAATGTCGACAATAAGATAACAATTTCTATATTATATATATAATAAGTGCTAAAAGATATGTTTAACATTAGAATAATTTTTTGATTAGCAAAAAAATACTATTAAAAATTGTAGAGTTATTCTATTTCGCTGTTTGCATCGGATTCATCGTACTGCATATCTTCTTCGCTTTCGCAATCGATATCATTCTCAGATTCGATTCCGTTGATATCTGCTGAAAAACATTAGATGAGGCAATCGATTCGTTATTAGCTATACATAAAATGAACAGTAAATTAGTTTTATTATTTATCAACAATGTATTAAAAAAGTCATATAAGAATTTATGTACTTACTAGGATCAAACTCCGGTATTGTATTTCCAGACTGCTGTAATTTCACCAATTCACTATAATTGTCAACATACTTTCTTTTAATAGCCGTGAAATTTATATAACAATTTCCATGGTACCTATTGATTTTATCTGGAGTTGTGGGTAAAATAAGTTCATTATACTTTAGCTTGTAGGTCACACGAATTTTTAAAATCTTCCTGCATTTTTCCAAAATTTTATCGTTAAAAAGTGTGATTTTAGTTTCACTGCTGTTGTTACAAAATACACACTTTTGCTCCGAACTCATTTTGCGAATAGTTTACTGACATTTGCAAAATATAAATAATAAATAAAAATTATATAAATAATAAATAATAAATAAATAATAAATAAACAATAAATAAAGATTCTAAAAGTCACTGAAGGAAAATAAAATTCGGCACAACACACGTTGGACGTCTGTTCATTGTCGAGTTTTCGAGTATACTGAACTCTTATATTTATTATCTTTATTATCATAAATGACCTTCTCCAGCCTCTACTATACAGCTGTTTCTCGGCTACTTGGTCCCTCTGAACCGTTTCAAACGGTTTTTATACCTGCGTTGAATTTTCGAGTATAATTTTCGAATCTCTTAATCTATTAAAACCTCAATATATTATTTTAAAACTTGTAGAAAAATATTTCTATATAGTTTTCAACTGCAGATAAAAAATGTTATGAGATTAATTAGTAACAATTTAGATTCAATATAATAATAAATATTAATCATTTTATTTTTAACAATAAAAGAATGAATACAAACTAAATCCATTAATAGAAAAAAAAACACGTAATATATTCATATAAATAACAAAATAACATATCATAGTAACGCATCGTACGAAACTACCTCAGGAGGTTGAAGCAGTTTGGTCAATTCTAGATTTTCGTTTGTAAAAAATATATATGATAGTATAGGATCTACCGCATGTGTGAGAATTATTTCAAATTTATTGACCATCCAGAAGCTGAGATATTAATTTCCAAAAATGCGTTGTTTTACATGAGGTTACATGGAGAAAACGTTGACGGCGATGATTTTTCCCAATTTTCTTTAATATCTAGTCTATATAAACGTTCAAAAAACGTGCCTACGCGTACAGTAAATTAATGCGAACATTTAGAGCGGAAAAAAACACGTATTCACCACCTAATAACAAATATATTACGAATTAAAGCGATCGAAATTAGGCTGAAACAGCAGTTGATAGTTCGCGAGTAGATAGATGTGGCAACACAGCGTCGGCAACCTAACCTTACCCAGAATGACAGAAATTTAACCGGCATTATAACTTGGGTCATTTAGAATCTCTAAACCTTTTTTACATTATCTTGCACACTGAATTAGTGCTATACAAAAGGAATACTGTTGTTTTTAGTCGAATTGTGAGATATTGTCGAATTTTATTCGTTTATGAGATTTTTTTCATTTTCGTTTTAATTAATTTTTATAATATTTCGGGCATGCTATTTAAATGCCAATAAAAATAGAATACTTACATTTTGCAACAATCCTTTTATTAGTATAGTAACATTAATGTTTTACATATATAGTACATAGAAATCTCATTATAATAACTATTCAGTTACACGAGGATCGTTATTTTATAACGGTCGACTGTCATAAACTCTACTATCACATTTCGATATACTAACAAAAGATGAACATTGACAGTGGCTACGATAGTAATTTCTTAATCTCTGTAATTAAATTAAGCAAAATCTTATTTTTTGTGACGCGAGGGCGGCCGTTTACGTCTTCTCCTAAAAGCATAGTAACCGCGTCTTCGCCACCATCAGAATACGATTTCTTTAGAAAGTCGATAGTTACACCAGCCTTCGCCATTTTCGTAAGCATTCCTGTGGATACTCCCCCCTTCAGGCAATCCAAATCATGCCTGTTTACTTTAGTTTTAGCAGCTTCCACCTGTGCCATAAGTACCGAGTGTACAGTCACGGAATTAGATCGTAGTTCTTCGTTGTTGATGCCTACAGACTCAATTATATTGGCCAGCATCCTAACGTCTACTAAACTATCATGAGCACCATCGGCAGCCCCGCTCCCCACTAAATCCTCAGCCAAAACCGATTGACGAAAGGACTTTTTAGCTTTTATTCTTTCTGGTAGTTTTTTCTTCAAAAGAGGCAGGGTATCGCAGAATCCAAACACCACTGATTGAAAGTCTTGCAACAATCCCAGAGATCTCAACTCGTTCAACAGCATAGGGGCATCAAAACGTCCGCCATTATGGGCAATGAGGATTACAGGACCAGGTGTCAAGAAGTCGATGAAAGATTTCAAGGCCAGCCTGCGCGGCATGGTTTTCATCTTTTCTCCATTTCGAAACAATTCTCCATCATCCACACTCAACCCTAAGGGAGATAAAAGCGGTTCCATTATTATTTAAAAAGTCCTTGTTTTTTTACTACTAAAGAATATCGTCAACACAAATTATACCTGTCACGAGAGACGCACTCGGTGAAAAGCCATGTGAGGGCACAATGAAAGCGTTGAATTCTTGCAAACCGAGTTTGGCAGAGACTTGGACGATTTCGGATGTTTTCGATAGCCCTGTTGTTTCTAGATCGAAAAACGCTAAGGCACTGGTGCTCGGAATTGGAGTATTTCGAATCGAGTAGCTATTATCAAGTTCTACAAACGTATTGAAACCACATCCTGAAGAATAAGTGATGCCTTCCTTATTTTCTGCCCTCGTGTTTGTATGGTGACGTTGCTGGAATAGTTGTCGGCGTCGACGTTTCTTCTCTACAGTTTTAGCAGAAAGTGCTCGTGCCGCTCTCAGCTTATCTTTTTGAGCTCGATACTTCTCAGTATGTTTACCCGGTGAGAGGTTTAATTTCGTATTAACTGATACCACGTACGAAGTGCCACAATTCTTTTGGCAGACAGCAGACGCCACGCGAAAGTCATTCGACTCAGATCCTCCGTAGTGGTTGCGTTTAGTCGTTTTACTGAGGGATATATTGTGAAATGATTCGTTCCCTTGAGTTGAGCCACATGGCGCGAGACGTCTCGCATTGGCAGCAAACTTTCGCAACACATCCGTTAGCGAAGCTTTCATGTTCTCATCGGTTAGACCTTTACCTCCGGGTAGGATCTTGTGCAAATATGTAGTTGGATCTTTATTGTATCCACACCAGGTTCCACAGTTCGAGTGGTCGTCGAAGGCGTGTGGAACTATGTTTAGAAGACCAGTCCTGACGGCTTCCTCATTATCTTTATTTTTTTCTAGTACGCAACCAAAGCAATACTTGATGTAATCAATTACTTTACTCGGGATCTTCAGAGCCCACAGTGCTTTACTAAGGGTGCAGACAGCGTGATTTTTATCCGACTCCTTTTCAACTGGATGCTCTGATTCGCGTCGAAGTTGGGCTATAGTAGATGAATCGTCATCACTGATGATCGTACCAATCACAACGCCCTCCTCCTTAAGCATTGGATTCTTCGCGAAAATTTCCACAGCCATCGAGGCTTCCATAGATTTTGAACTGCCAGTGTGATTCAGTCGACAGTCATGATCTTCCGGTGGGTGACCTTTCTCACAGAAGATACACCGTTTGTTTCTAGTTGCATAGCCGATAACTAATTTATTCTTGGATCCGATCCCGATGCCATGAGCTGAAACACGTATATAACACAAATAGCTACGAACCAGAGAAAAAAATAATAGTGCTATAAATTATATATCCGCAATATTGCAGATTTACCAGTAAGACTATTATAGCTTCGACCTGACCCTTTCTTTTGCCATCCGGCGTCGTATGCAGCTTTCAACTTTACTATAGAATTTTGTTCTTCTGGGCTTTCCAAATCGTTTGATCTAGGGGATATGAAACATAATATATTAAAAACATAATAAATTCTAATTATCAAGTAAAAGCATACACAAATCTATTCAGTTATATTATTGAGCATTCTGGGATAGGAAAAGTCCTTCCGAAAATTATAGGAACGTTGAAGTACCTAGTAAAATGAATACAAAATAATCGGCCGTTCTAATAAAGCGAGAAAATAATATAACAGCTACAACATATTCGTGGAAATTAGAGAGAGTCATACAATCAGATTTTAAGCAAATAAACTCAGATGTTCGAGATTTGGGTGTTAAATATTTAAGACGAAACGATCACTTCAAATATTTACCATCAGAAAAATTATTAACGCATCCAAATATAAAGCAGCAAATAAGTAAAAAAATTGTACCAACTTTATTAACGAATTCTACGTTACGACTCTGGAAACCCTGAAAGCGAAATCAAAAAGCAACATACAGCAAAGTATACGAGAGAAATTACAATAACTATACATCCATAATGAGGTCCCATGATCTAATATTTAATATTCATCCGATATAATAAGTAAAAGGCATCCAGTTAGCAACAACGACCAACACTTTCATCATTACACTATGCTACAGCTACTCATTACTCAATACATTTTTAACTGCCACGATGTTTTCAGTGGTACTGCTCTTCGGGTTCTTGGTTCGATTCTGATCAGTTTTCATAGGCACAGATATTACATGAAGCATCTACAAGTTCTAAAAACCCTGAAATAAATTCACGTTCATTTATTAAATTTATTCAATAATTAGTGTAAAATAGTTCTCAATGGAGAAGTGAATTTTTATTTATTTTTTTATGTTTTAATTGCATTAGTGCAACGCAGATGAGCTTTTGCTTCTGCGCTGTCAATTGCATATGTGATACAATATTTTTCACAATAATTTGTTATCAGATTCTTTACGCTTTTTCATAAAGTAACGTAGCACATAAAAATAGTAATAAATAAGAATTAAAGTTTTCTTACGACATGTCAGCTAACATCAAATCCTTTTCGAGTCTCAATGCTTCTCTGCAACTTTTACGTGCTAAGTCCTCCAGCGATTTGCCCACATACCGTTCATTCCGCTTAAGCAATGTGTTACTAATGATAGGAATATTAAGTATCGACAAAATCGTGTTCATGTGTGTATAACCAATGCCTGCGTCAATCATAGCTAAAACATAATTTCGAGAGTAAATAACAATGCGCACACAAGATAAATTTGTTTTTTTATGTTTCTTACCGAGAGCACTTTTAGCATTCACGTCGTATTGAGTGCAATTGCCGTCCTCACGCTTTTTGTAGCATTTACTCGATTTAACCTCATGAAGCAAGAGGCACGTGTGACATCTCACACGAAAGATACTGGCAAGGCCGATGACATTTTCGTTTTCAACATACCGAAACGATAGTGGAGCGTCACAAGCCGGGCACCACATTTCTTCTGCTAACATTTTAATTTCGACGACACGACGCCCATTGACAATAAAGTCCTTCGAATCCTCGTTCTGTATTTTACGTCTCTTACACGCGTTTCTGACATTTTCCTTCCATTGGAGTTTCCTTTTCGTAGAAAACTTTCCGTTTCTGTCACGGACACGATCACCTTTCGCGGGCATGTTTACGTTTAGCGAGCGCCGCATATGTGGCTCAACACAGAGGCGAGCACTGCTACCAACCTCATAAAAGTGCAACGTTGCCAAGTTTCAATCGTATTTAATATAATCGACGGAAAGTTATTAAAAAATCGACAGCTTATATAATTATCAAGGGAGCTACCAGTAATAATCATTATTTTATTCTATCAACGGCAAAATATATATTCATGCCATTTTTTAATTGAAATAATGAGCAATACCACAAGTTTTCAAGTTGGCACTGGCAAAAAAGTGTTTCGTTTTTAGTTAATTAAAATATAAAGATGCATAATATGATACTTTTACTATACGTTTTATGCAATAGTAGCGTATGGAAAATAAAATGATACCTAATACAGATTTTTTAATGACCTAATAAAAAACTTTTTTCTAAACCGTCAATTGACTCAACTGGACCGCTTCAACCTCCTTGCGCGATCGAAACTGCGCTCTTCATTACAATCTGCCTCGATGTTGTCTTCAGTTTTTTCGTCTGCCATTTAGCACATAGCTTCGTTAACAGTTTAGTAATTATTACCAATAATTTTTAATCATGTACCTTATTATTTTTTTTTTTCACAAAAGTTAACGCCGCTTTGTTGCAGTCTGCCGGCCTTTTCTCTTCCACGAAATCGTCTGCCAATAATTTTCCGCGTTTTTTAGCAACAAATACTTAACATTCCTATAATTTTTATCCCTGAGCTTTATCCTTCTTTTCCTTGTAAAATTTGTCATTTTTGACCGTCCACCCCCGCCTTAATCTTCCTAAGCGCGCAGGCAGACTGGTCACTCAGTGTTCGGGAGTGCTAATGGAACTCTTTAGCTATAAATATTTCATGTACCTTGCATTTTTATACCTTGCATTTTTATGTAGCCAGCTCTCCGTCTATGTGTAGGAAGCAGCATATCTGTCTCCCTTCCGATTGGTCAGCCACCTCTCTTGCACTAGCAAGAGAGGTTGAGAGTTACGAGGTTATCAGAACTGAGTTACGACGACCGTTAGATTTGTACTGACTCTCGTGGCTGTTGCGTGGTCTGCAATAAGGTATTATTTTATCAGCAGTAATCGAGTGTGTAATTATTCCTCGATTCCTCTCGTCAAGACGTCGGTAGTAGGCCGATACCCGGAGGCATAATCGACCTCCTGCGGTACCAAATACCTACATTAGAGAAACCGGCGCGCGCGGGCCCGCCGGGCCGAAAGAACGCCACTGTCGTGCGAGCCGCCATCCCGGTACCATCCAGCCCTGCAAGCCGAACAACGAGCTGCCGGAACGAGGAATCAATTGTAAGGCCACTGCTCAGCCTCCCCAAAATAAGATCGTTGGGATACTAAGGCCCTCCCGGGAGTCGGGTTGTGCCGCGAGAATCGATGAAATCCGCCGTAACTTGAACAATACCGAGTACCATATCGCGGGAGGGCCCGTACGAAAAAGTGATCGCGAGTGCCCGTCTCGGGGATGCGGACGTACGGTCGCCGACAGTCAGCGTGCGTGTCATTTCGTTGCGTGTAATTTCGTTGCAGGTAATTGCGTTGCGTGTAATTTCGTTGCGTGTGATTTTGTAATCGTCGTTTGCTTAACCGTGCCGTAGTTTCGGGAGGTTGGTCTCGCACGTGTGAAAGTCCCGTGGTTATCGTTGCCGGTTAAGTTCGTGCTAATTATAAGTGAATGTCCGTGCGTTTCATCGGGAATAATGGCTCACGATTGTGTCGCGTTTACGGGTGAGTCCATTCGTGCGTCTCGTGAGGAGTGAAGATCCCCAGCTCTGTCGCGGTAGATTGTAAGGAAATTGCGTTATTGATAAAAGTGGGACCTCGTGCGCTTGTTAGCAGTAACGTTTTCGAGTATTTCGCGTTTAATCGTCCGGGTAAAATTCGCTGCAACTTATGTCGGGGAATAGTCTTGTACGAATTCGACCGAGATTGCTGTGCAGTTCAGCGACGGAATGAGTATCGCGCTCGTGGGGTGACACGTGGCGCGTGCCCGGATTCTGCTTGTTCGCCGTGGAACTCGCCTACCTCCTTCCACTTGTAATCTGCATTAAATAAAATATAACTTTATGTTTCTTGTTACTCGGATGTGTTGATTGCGCTACGCTCTCTCTCCTCTTCCAACCGCGATTAATCAAAGAAACCCACGCTTGAGAATACTGCGATCTCGTATATCGTAGTGTGAGGAAACGCACCTGGCGCACAACATTTAAAAAATAAAACTATTCAGTCGAGCTACCATCTGGGTTTCGGAGAAAAGTATCGCGATTTAGAAAGAGATCTTTAGTGAATAAAGCGACGCACGGGGCGCTCCTCCACGGCCGGCGAGACCGTGAGAACATCGTCATTGTCGTCACAAATTAAACAGCTGCCTCTTGAAATATCCAACATAATTTTTGGCATGTTGGACAATCGGTCTCACCGGTCGGTTTCAACGGTGTCTGAAGAATGGCAAACGATAACTATGGACGAACGGAGACGCAGGCTCCGGAGTACGAAATTAAATGTAAAACCTGTAAAACGGCAACCTGTAAAATACAATAAAATTCTGACGTTCAAATTCAATGAACGAAACGGTAGGGTTATTAAGGTAGATCCGGATCAGCCTCGCCGATTACGCACATACACCTACTATAGAGATAAAACAAGTAATCTGCGCCTATGAAGAAAAATAAATGTAAATAAAAAATGAATGTAAGTAGCATATTGTAGCTTTTGAATAAACATAAATGGATATAAAAAATAAATGTAAGTAGCATGTCGTAGCTTTTGAATAAAAATAAATGTAAACAAATAAAAAAATTTAAATAGCAGTAGTAGTAACAAAAATAAATTAGTACGCGCATTGTACTTGTTATTTTTCTTTTATTCTTAGCAGTATTATATATAACTTTGCGTCCTTAAATATCCTTCTGTGCGAGTAGGAGTTATTTTGAGAGATCTACCCCGGGAGCTCCGAGGGGGGAGCGGGGCGGGGGGGGTACCGCGGGCAAGGGGGGAGCGGAGCGGGGGTGTACCGCGGGCAAGGGGGGGAGCGGGGAGAGGGGGTCCGCGGGGAGGGGGGTGGGGGACTCGAGGACGAGGGTGTCCGCGGGGAGGGGGGGGACTCGATGGCGGGGGTGGTCGGCGGGGGGGGGGGGGGGGTGGTCGGCGAGCATGTCGGGACATGTTTATTAAATGTTAATAAACGTATTGTTGACAAGGGTACCGCCGAGGGGGGGGGGGGTGTCCGCGTTCTACGCCGAGGGTGGTCCGGAGGGAGAGGGGGGGTCGTCACTTTATCGGCGCGGGGTATACAAAAGCGATGGGCGCCGTTCGGCTACTGGAATTTTATCGGCGGCGCGCCGCGGGAGGATGGGGGTCCGCGTCCAACGGCCACGTCGGTCCGCGTGACGTCACACGACTCGCCCGCGTCTCGTTCGCGTTGTCTTTCCCTCAGCGCGGTCTCTCTCGCTCCCGTTCCTTTGTCTCTCCCCCGTTCGCGCGCGTCTTTTCGTTGGCGTTCTCTTTTCTTCGCGCGGATTTAACTTAATAATTATTATTATTTAAAATATTATTATTATTATACTTAATAATAGTGAAGAAAGCGGAAAAATAAATGATATATAGAATTAAGCATAAAAAATATTTATTCATAAAACTTTAAAAAATTTTTTAAAAATTACCACACCTCTTCCTCTTCAACGTCAAACTCATTTTGCATATCGAATAATCTTCGTAATTGGAAGATATCTTCATCTCCTAAAACGTCCCAGATTTCCTCGTTGTATTCTGAATCCACTCTTCTAAACCAGCGTACCAAACGCTGACGATGAATATTGATGAATCCCCGAATTCGGATTTCATCAAAATATATAAAACGCTAAAAAAAATTTAAAAAAATTTAAAAAAAGTTTAAAAAATTTAAAAAAAATTAAAATCTGTGAAAAAAATATTAAACACACCTGTCTGTGAGGGATCCGAACCCTCACCATATTATAAAGGCGGACCTCGCGCACCGGCACGTTGTCGACCCATATCCACTGTAACGCGTTAACAGAGAATGGTTAATTTTTTTAAAAACTATATAATTTACAATTATGTATTGTTGCGTGCATGCCGCCCGGTATGTTTTTTCAAAAAATGTTACGACAGTGAGTCCGTGACTCTCTCAGACACTTATTCACACTCGCGCACTCACGAAAATAACGACGATTTAAACGATCGTCGTGACGAACTGCACGCTTCAGCTTGGAGTTCGAAAAGCATACCGGGCGACACGCACGCAACGGTATTAAGTATACATACTCCTACTGCGGGGTACACAATATCTATGCATTGTTCGATTATGTGATATCTCCGTTCCATTTCATCTCGTTCCTCTTCTTCTCGGTCCATTTCGTATTCTTACACACCCCAGTAAAACAGGAACGTCACGTCGAATCACGTAATTTCGTCGAATCCACGTCGAATTCACGTAGCAATAACGTGGATCCACGTACTGTTTTTATCGGGCAGTGCGAGTCTACTTGCGCTTGCGAACGTTTTCACACTACTGACTTAACTGACTGCAGAGGACTGAACCAGAGCTCGGAAAAGTAATTAAGATAAAATATATCTAGCATTACAATAGCGAGAAAGGATTCGTTGGAGCATCAACACCACATAGGCGAGCGTCGCCGGAGCATGGCTTCATAGTTTACGATATATGATATACCTTAAATTTCAATCGAATGGTTCGAGTTGAATGTCGCATATACGGCTCGAATGGAAATGCGTGTGAAGAAATTAAGTCGTGATTTATATTTTAAAAAATACATTTTTTTTTTATTCTTCTTCTTTTACATATTTTTTGTTTTTT